TTTTTTGGTTTTTCTCCGGTACCAGGAACCGAACTCACGACCTTGCGCTTGCCAGGCAGGCGCTTTGCCGCTGAGCTAAATCCCCAGCCCCTAGTCTGGGTTCTTCCAGCAGTTGGTGACGTTTACCTAGTTCTCCCAGGTCTCAGATGCCAACCATGATGTCATCAGGTCACAGACAATATGATCCAGTTACAGCTCAGGTCATGAGTATGAACCAGAAGTGGTCTGAACTGGTGGCATGATCACAGACCACTTGGTCCTGTGACTCCAGGGAGTTCAGGGTAAAAGTAGATCCCAGACATGGACAGCAGGGTCTTCAGTTCATGGACTGCCTGATTCTGTGTCTGTAGGCCTCTAACCTAGAGCACAGGAGCCAGACATGGGCTGCCCTGGCAGTGATCACAGACCACCTATTTCTGCGTGCCTTGCTCAGTCTTGAATCATGGGTTCAGCAGTTCGTGGACTGCCTGCTCTGGAGCTTCATATGTCGCTAGGCAAGCACGGGGGTGGTATGCAAACCCCAGTGTTACCGGGTTCATGAGTCTCTTGAGACAGTCTCCTGTGTGCTCCAGGTGCATGGAGGGTGGAAACACAGACTGCAATGGTGGCAGCGATCTGGGTCACCTGCTCTGTTCCCAGGAAGTAGATGGGGGGCTACCTGGTTTTCACGGAGTTCAGCTGCAAACCATGGTGTGAGCAGATTGTGGGCCTCTTGATTCTGTGTCTGCTGGTCACTTGTGGTGCACACAGGAGCCAGATGCAGGCTGTCGGTATTGCTTGTATTGTTCTTGTGCTATTTTGTAAATGGATGTCTGTTTGTTAATATGTTTTCATTCTTTTATTTTTAAAATTGAAAAAAGATATCATCACTGGTGGAGGGTGTAGGTGCTTTGGCTGAGCTGCATTACTTCTTAGGAACTGTGGTAGATTAACCACAGTTAATGTGGTGATTAATGGTCAAGTTGTAACACCCAGCTGAACTGAATCAGCATGGTTCTGGGTGTGGAAGGCCCACCTGAGGATTGTTGCCAGCAGCATAAAAGCAGAACTGGAGGGGAAGATGGTGTGCTGTTGATTCTCCTTGAGAAGTTTGTCATGCTGGGTTTCCTGATATGAACTCTACTGTTATCATCAGAGAAGCTTGGGACCTCACTGTTGCTGAGGATGTCTATGGTTCTTTTTGGGGAAGCTCTGGTCCTTACCTTGAGTGTCACTTCCTGGCTCCAGTGCAGATCCCTCCACCTACTGGCACAGATCTCTCACTGGCACAGACTTTCTATCCTTCACCACTGACCTTTGGGCCTTCACAGTGCAGATCCTTGAGACATTGTCATGGGCTCATGGCCTCCAGCTGGATTTATGGGGGACATTGCTGTGGGCTCTAGGTCTTCAGCTGGATCCATGCAGGACATTCCTGTGGGAACCAGATCCTCAGCTGGATTCTTGGAGTCTGTAATGTGTGGACAGATCTCTTGCACTCTTCTACATTTGACTTTTTGGATGAAACTTATAAAATAATCCTATAAATTATGTGTCCTCTATTAAATCTATTCCCTTGCAAACCATGACTACAACAGGAACTGTCTAAAAATCTATAATTTTTTTCAAAATAAAACGTTTTAAAGTAGGCAGAATAGCATAATTAACCCACATATACTCATTACCTTCCTCTGCAATTATCAATTTGTGGGCAATCCTGTTAATTTGTATCTTTCTCCCTTACTACTCTGCCATATTATTTTGAAGAATTCCCAGGTGTCAATAATTTTATTCATAAATATTTCAGTAAAAGTAAGAATCTTTAATTATTAAAAACAACATAACTAAAATTCCATTTCACCCAGCTATTCCTGTTCTAGGCACAGTATCAAGAGAGTTAGCATCTTTATTACATTGAAATACGCATATTCATGTTTACAGCAGCCCAATTCATAATAGCTAACTCTAGGAAGCCCTCTATATGTCCATTAACAGATGAGTGGATAAAAACCGTGGTATTTATACACAACATTGTACTACTCTGCCATAAAGAAGAATAAATGGTGCTCCTTGAGACCATAAGGTTGAGTGAAATAAATCAGAAATACAAGCTTAAATAGCACATGGTTTCTCTCATGTGAGAATCCCAAATTATAAATAAAGAGCAAAATAAAATATAGACAATAGGAAGTAGGAGAATTGATTTTTGTTCAAATGGGGAGGGGGTCAAGAGATGGTGAGGAGGAAGAAAGGAAGGAAAAGGGTTGAAAGAAAGAACTGAAGTGTGTTATATACACACACTAACTCCCCACAAGGAATGTAAACATTATGTAACACAAACATGTACTAAGAAAAAATAAAAATGAAAAAACAAAAGAAATTAAAAGACCATAATTCTTTAAATAGTTTTAGTGTAGATGGCATCTAATTCCTAGACATTTTGCCTTCTTAATCTGTTAGGGTTCATTGCTTCAATTCATTAATTTATAGAATTATTTCTTATTTCCCTTTCCACCAGGTTTTTGTTTTACATCCTTCTTTCCTTTCTTATCTTTTGGAGAGGTCTTTCCTTTCCTTCTTGCTTTTTGTAGTTCTTCAAATTTTCCCAATCCTTTCCGAACCATTATTCCACGCCACCATGCCTGAATCTGAAAACAAGATAAACCCAAAATCAGCATCATCTGGTATCCTGAGCGTTGTGGTTTGAATATAGTTTGTCCCCTCTGAAACTCATGTTGAAACTTCATTCCACGGTGATGGTGTTGACTGGTGGTGGGAACTTTAAGAGGTGCCAGGGTCATGAGACACACCTGCTGCTCTCACAAGAGTGGGTTATTATCTCAGGAGTGTGTTCTTGCTCTTTGGTCTCTTGAGTTCCAACAAAAGCAACCTGATATAAAGTAAAGCCCTTTGCTTCCTGTTTTTGCACTTGCTCACTTGCCCTTTCACCTTCCTCCATATCATGACACCCTTGCCAGACACACTGCTAAGCCCTTAGATCACCCAGCCTTGAGAACCATAAGCCAAAGTAAACCTTTATTCTCTGAGTCACCCAGTCTCAGATATTGTTACAGCAGCAGAAAACAAACTAAACCAATGATAAACTAGACAGTTAGTTTTTTTCTAGTATAGTGCTTTAAAGATGTAGAGAATGGGATGTGATTGGAATGCCAAACCTTATTTTCTTCTTTCTCAGTCAGCCAGTCTGGGCCCCTACCTAAAACCAGACTTCCATTTGTTCCCTGGATTCTGCTCCTTCCCCTCGCTTTAGGAACCCTCTCCTTTAGTAGTAAACTCTACTTAGAACTTCTCAGTGTCTTACCCTTTCTCTCAGAATTAAAGCCAAAGTCTTTATAAGGAGTTAAAGCTCTATCAGATCTACTCTTCTCTCTGACCTGGATCCTTTAACTATTGTCTCCCTCATTCACCCTGCTGCAGCCAAGCAGGTCTTCTTCCTGCTCAGGTGCACTGGGATCTTCCTAACTCAGGGCTTTGCAGTCCCTGCTTTCTCTGCCTCAGACCCTCTTCCCGTATTCAGATGGCTCACACCCTGCTAGTGTTTGCTCAGTTGTCATTCCATGGTCTGAACTTGTCCCCCTGCTTTGTATGTTGAAGCCCTAACCTCCAATGTGATGGTGTTTGGAGATGCGGCCTTGCGGAAATAATTAGGCTTAGGTGAGGTCATGAAGTTGAGGGCCTGAGAATATTATTGCCCTTATAAGATATAAGAGAGACGCTAGAGAACTTGTTCCCTCCCACCCCAGCGAGGCCATGGTAAGAAGGCAGTTAACCCAAACCCAAGGTGAAGGCACTCACCAGAAGAATGTGACCATGCTGGAACCCTGATCTCAGACTTGTAGCCTCCAGAACTATAAGAAAATAAATTTCTGTTCTTTAGGCCACACATTCTATGGCATTTGTTATGACTGGCCAAGCTGATGAAGACAGTCATTTTGCAGCAAAACCTACCCTTACCATCTCATGTAAATGAGCACCTTCCCCTGTCCACATACACACCACTTCTGACAATCTCAGTCCCTTTAGCTGACCCCAATAGCACTTATCCCTTTGTAACAGTGTGTGATTTTATGCTTTGATATTCGTGTTTTTATTTCCCTCCCACTAGATTTTAAATAACATGAAGACTGAAATACTTGCTTTTTTTTCACTAATATCTCCAGTGCCTGGGATATCGTCAAAACACAATAATAACTCAATAAATTCAATAGCTATTGATTAAATGGTAAGGTGGTTGCTGTCTTATATAAGGTAGGTGGAGGAAGGGCTCCCCAGTAAGAGGATGTTTTAGCAGAGATGGAACAACGAAGTGAGGGCCAGAATCTTGCCTGTATCTGCGGGAAACATCTCTGATAGAGGCAAGGTTCTGAGGCAGGCCATGCTTGGTACGGAAAGAACACCTAGGATCAGGTTTCTGACTAAAGCCAGATGTGGGACGATTAGATCTGAAGCACAGTGCAGTGATTGGTGATTCTTCAGAGAACAATGCCCTCTAGAGGCGTTTTGTAAATTTACAGGGTTTTTTATTATCTTCTCCGGTGTATGAGGGATCCCCTAATCCCCGAAGCCTTTCTGAAGATGTGCAGGCCAGGATAGTTTGAAGGCGATTCCTTTCCTGAGCTTCAACTTCCACACATGCCCCTCCCTAAGACCCAGCTTCGCAACTGGCCCTCTGACATTTTCAAAGGACGGACAAACCTTGCAATCCTCATCCTCAAGTCTTACTGTGGTGTCTTGCCCTGGACTCCAAAACTCTCAACACCAAGAATAGTGACAATTCAAATGTCCATGTTGATGTTCAGAAAACCAATGCCTCGAGACTGAGTAACTAGTCCTTTTGCAAGTCCTGTAGCTTCCAACTCTACTAAAATGAGAGCCTAGTTGATGTGTCACCTAAGATCTGTTATCTGATTTGGGGGAATTTAAATCTGGAATAAATGTGTGAGGCATTATTAAGACAAATAATACAGGCATAAAAAGCTTCTCCTATTATCATCAACTCATTTATGTGAACAAGGTTTCTGAGGGTTTTCATTTGTAAAATGAAAAATACAAGTCCCAGTAAAAACCTGCCTTAGTCTAACAAGCAGTAATATTTGTGCATATTTGTATACTAAGTGGAAAAAAATTCTTGAGTATATATTTCTAAACAAACTATGTCAAGTAATCATCAGAATTTATAATAAAAGTTGTTTGAGATGGTTTTGTACTACTAATAATTGTAATGTAATAATCCAGAATATTAAAAAGTAATGGTTGGAGAAAAATTTAAATTTTAAAACAGAATTAATATAAGATATTTCATTGCATAGAAATTCAAAAGGACAATCTATAAAAGAAAGGCTGGAAGTATAGTTCTGTACCAGAGCCCTTGTGTGAATGACAACACCCTGGGTTTGATCTCCAGCACTACAAGAAAAAAAAATTCAGAAAAGAATGAAAATAAAATACATGTATAACCTTAGTATTAATTCAGAGGAGAAGTGTAATGGAAATACATGTTCAAGAATAAAAAGACTATGACATAAAATTTTGGTCTACCAAAAAGAGCTTCTACTGGGTATACACTATTTCAAATATTAATCTCATAGCTCTATTTAAAATGTCAACATTCACAGTAAACGGAAATTGCATCCTTTGTATTCTTTTTTTTACTTTTTATTTTTATGAGTGCATGTTTGCAGTACATAGTGATTACATTCATTGTGGGGAGCTGGCCCATGTTCATAACACCTCCTAATTCTTTTTACCTCCCCTTCCCCTTTCCACCTCCATCTGTCTCTTGGTACCATTCCATGATTTCAACTTTGTGGCAAAAATTTTAAATAGTGCAAAGGGGTACAAGGTTCCTCAAAATATTTTTTAAGAAACAAACCAATGAAAAATATGACTTTGATTCTTCTAACATAGTTATTCTTGAGTATATACACATTGAAATAGATATATTTCACATAAATTACTTTCCTCTTTATGTTGCAGCTTGGTGTTTTTATTTAGTAAAATACGTGCTTTATGGGTTATAGTATCTACAAAATTGGGGGGGGCAGTACTGGTTTTGAATCCAGAGCTTCACATTGAGCTACATATTCAACCCTTTTTAATTTCATATTTTGAGATAGGGTCTCACTAATTTGCTCAGGCTGGCCTCAAACTTGCAATTCTCCTGCCTCAGCATCCTGAGTAGCTGAGATGACAAGTGTGTGCCATTTGACCTGGATTACAATTTTTAGGAGAAGAAAAGAAGTATCACAGGATATTTATTGTTAAAAAGACAGCATTGAGTCTGATAGGTTGAGGGTCATTGATGAAGAGTCTCACAGATCCAAGACTTTCTTACTCCAGGTAAAATGGAGAAGTGTTGATTTTAGCAGAGTGGTAAGATCTGACCTGTGTTTCAATGGCCTTTATGTGACTGTTGAGAAGAAGACACATTGTAGGGGAAACAGGAATGGAAATAGGGATGATCGGAACTAAGGTAGCCACACAAGCATGAGATAATGGGAACTTAGACCAGCTGAAGCATAAGGAATACTGACTGCAGTGGACACATTTGTGGCCTACAGTATCTCATGGAATCAGTGGGCAACAGTTGAACTGCAAAGCTCTGAGCATTCTAATCCTACTTAGTGGTCTCTAGACTTCTGATCTACAAATGCTTTCATTTCTAATTTTTCAATCTTTTTTTATTCCTTTGTTAACAGAAGTGTTTTCACAACAGTGAAATAGTCCAAGAATTTTAGATTGCTTTAGAATTTGAAGTTTTGGTTTCTTTTGCCTATTTGTTGGTTTCTTGCTTGACAAAGAGATAAGAGACATAAAGGATAAAATCCTAGGGTCAAAATTTAAAAATCCTTTCCCTTATCCCTGGGTTTGTAAGAGTAAATATCCCCTTGGGAAGCACAGGCTGCAGATGTGTAAAGAACTACCCTGTGGAAGAATCTAATGGACACCTCTAAAGAAGCTGTGAATATTAACAGGATGCCTGCTGCCTTCACCTTTGTTGCCTTTATCTTCTTGTTTCTGCTGTCCTTCAGGTATCTCCATATGGCCTCGTTGCCTTCTGCGCACACTTCTATTGGGGGGATTTCCATGGGGTTACTCATCAGTGTCAGAACCATGAGATTCTCTAGGCTGTCCAAATCCTCCGGAAGATGAGTGAGCAAGTTGTCCTCCAGCAGCAACTCTCTCAAACCTAGAAGAAGTTTTGTTTCAAATGGTGACTTTCTCTTAGAAACAAGCAACAGTAACGTGGCACCTAGCCCTGCCCAGGTATGCAAGGGGCCCACCTCTGCATTTATAATAGGAATGAAAGGAAGTATGCACCAGAAATCATAGAGCTTTTTTTTTTTTAATTTTTTTTTATTTTAAAGAGTAAAAGAAAGATAACATAATAATAGGGGGGACTTAGCAAATTACAGACAAAATGGTAGGAAATTATCAATGGTTATTGTTTTAC